GAGCCGTGATTTAAAAATGGCGGCGCCCGGCTTATGCAAATGAAGCCCGGGAAATTCAAATCCTGGGCTTCATTTGCAAGTGCGGTATGCCTACATTACCCTCCTAGTTCGAACTAGCGGGGTAGTGTAGACATACCCCAACAGTGTTTCCCAGTTGGTGCTCCGTGGAACCCCAGGGTTCCGCAAAGCGAAAGTAAGGGTTCCGCGAGAACACAGCATTGCCCCGCCCCCTCTTAAAGAGACAGAGCATTTTGCAGGTTTTTTTTTTTTTTTTGTTCAACCAATTCTGGCGGGGCTTTTTTTTTGCTTGCCAAATTTTACTCTGGGAACCCTAGGGGTTCCTTGAAATTATTTTAAGCTGAAAAGGGTTCCGTGGCCAAATAAAATCAGGAAACATTGCACTAGAAATAGCAGCAGCGCCCCTTGTGTGGGGACCCAGTGTGGCAGACAGGAGAGAGCTCTGGCAGCTGGGTCGGGCTGCTGCCCTGCTATTTTAATGTGCTAGCTCCATTGAAGCAAAGGGGAATACAAGTACGTGGGCTACACCTCTGGCTGCCCAGACAATGACGTGGCACAGAGACAGTCCATGACCCAGCAGGGATTTGAACTTCCAACTCCTGAGTCCTACCGCAAGACCCAGCCTGGTCCCCCAGGCTGCGGACATGGTAGGAAGCACTCGCGGATACAGAAGGGCGCTCACCATTGCAGTGCATTCTTCCGCGCTCCCCTGCCACGATGGATTCCTGCCAGGTAAGACCTTCCAAGGCAGGCCCTGCAATCACCCGATCGTCTGTGCTCTGCAGGGCGCTTTCTGGGGCCTGATGCTAGGGCTGGCACTTGGCCTGGCCAGGAGGCTGCGGACATGGTAGGAAGCACTCGCGGATACAGAAGGGCGCTCACCATTGCAGTGCATTCTTCCGCGCTCCCCTGCCACGATGGATTCCTGCCAGGTAAGACCTTCCAAGGCAGGCCCTGCAATCACCCGATCGTCTGTGCTCTGCAGGGCGCTTTCTGGGGCCTGATGCTAGGGCTGGCACTTGGCCTGGCCAGGATGGGGCTGGAGTTTGCATACCCCTCGCCCCGCTGCGGCCTGCCGGACGAGCGGCCCTCGGTCGTGAAGGACGTCCACTACCTCCACTTCGCCATCGTCCTCTGCGCGCTGACGGCCCCCCCCC